ATGTTTAACTCTTTAAACTTATGTCGAATTGTATTACGATCACCAAATATGTTGTCAGTGAAGCCAGAATCTACAAAAAAATATTTTAAAATCGTAACAAACAAGAAATACTTTCTAAAATTGATTAAGAAAAGGTAAACTGGAAGCAAACCACGAAATTACCCTTAATAATAACGATTCATCAATTGGAAACATATTGCAAGGTGAGAAAGTAAGATTATGATGCAATAATTGCATTGAAAATTGCAAGACCTAAAACAAAATTAATTTTAAGTCACTGTTAGTTTTAATTTTTTAACAGTCACCTCATACTTAACTTCGTCTTTACATAGGTGCAGTTTTCTTGCATCACACGGTAGCAAATCGTGAATTACAGAAGAAGTTTTCTTTGCCTAAAAAGTTTATAGTTAAGCTCGCACTTACAATATCCAATATCGAATAAAAACATTTATAAGGAACATAGCAACAATTTATATTAATGTACATGTTGTTTACCCATTAATTTTTTGATATTGACAAATAAAAGTCATTTCGCTCATTCCGCATTGTGAACGTCAATAATGTTATCACTCATTATGCTTTGAATTTCTAATAGTAATTTTTAAAAAGAGTGTCAATAATAACAAATGTCTTTAGATACGTCCCTATCCAGGACAGACCTTTCTTCAACTTCTTCTGAACTGATTCTGGTAGCATCACTATCTCTTAAACGTTATTGCCCGATAAACTCATACTTTCTATGCTAGTTTTTTCGAATATTTTAGTTATATTTATTTAGAAGAGAGTCTCAAAATTGAAGAACATAGGTGTGTCACGTTCCCATTAGTATGTGCTGGTAAGCGAATATCCATCCTGGCGTTGAGAATCTTTTTGGTGAGCAGAGCGACCTCCTTAGCCTGTTTCATGAGTGTAAGTGGATACTGGTGGTTAGGGATAAGAAGACCAAACGGACAAGATGGAAACAGTAGAAGAATGAAAAATTGTGTCTATGTAATATTATTACTTTGACAACATATTAAGGAAAGCTCAGAAAATTTTTACCATTGCGGCCAGATCCAAAGTCGAACCGGTCTCCTTGCGCAGCTAAGCTATGACTACGTCGCTCCACATTACTTAAAATGAAACTTTTTAACACAACTAATACTGGTGTCGAACAATCACTCCCGTCCACTGTAAATACGAGGCATAATGGAGAAGTCTCTCATCAGCCCCCTTTTAGAAATAGTACGAATAGTTGGATGGTGCTAGGGAAGCGACAGGTTAGAGAGAAGATGAGTAAATAATTGTCGGTGAAATATAGGTACCCCAAAATTTACCTTACCGATCCTAGAAAATCACATAGAAACATGAGCAAACAGAGATCTGAAATCACGCCAGTCTCCTATCGAATGCTGAGCTATGATCTAACCACTGGACCACACCGCTCGGCAATACTGAAGAAGAAACTTTTACTTGTTTCATTCCCACCCACGGCCAATACAAGTATCAGACGCTCCGTCTCATCTCAACTGTACTACAAAGATAGATTATATGGTGGAAAGATCTCAACAACCTTCTTTTAGGAATCGTGCGAATAGGTGAGTGGTTATTGAAAAGGGACAGGTCAGACAGAAGGATGAGTAAATAATTATCTGTGGAATATTACTGTCCTAGAATTTACTTACAAATGGTCCTAGGAAACCATCGAGAAACATGGGCAAGGAGAGCGAATATGAAATCACACCAGTCCCCTATCGAATGCTAAACTATGATCTAACTACTGGACCACACCGCTCGACATTACTGAAGAAGAATCTTTTACTTGTTTACTTCGCTGCCTCTTATCTCAACTCTACTACAAAGATGGATTATGTGATGGAAAGCTCTCAACAACCTTCTTTTAGGAATCGTGAGAATAGGTGAGTGGTGCTTGGGAAGGGACAGGTCAGACAGAAGAGTATTTAGAGTATTAGAGAATTTACCTACATGGTCCTAGAAAACCACATAAAAACATGAGCGAAGAAGGACGGATCAAAAATCACAGCAGTCTCCTATCGAATGCTAAGCTATGATCTAACCCCTGGACCACACAGCTGTGTCCGCTCTCCTATTAGGATTCATGCGAAAAGGTGAGTGGTGCTTGGGAAGGGACAGGTCAGACAGAAGAATAAGTAAGTGATTGTGGAATATTACTATCCTAGAATTTACCTATAAATGGTCCTAGGAAACCATCGAGAAACATGGACAAGGACAGCGGATCTGAAATCAAACCTGTCTCTTAAGGAATAAGGGTTCGTATAATCATGGTAAGCGCAGAACCTACCATCGACAGTTGATAAGGAAAGCATTTGATACGACTAGCAGAAATATTAGAAGCCAACTGTTTTAGTATTAGAAATCTAATTTCGACTGAGTGACATTAACTACATTAACGTGTTAATGCCATTTACTTTTGCTTCTCTATTGTAAATTACGACATGATTAATTTTATTGTTTCAACTTACTTCTGCACACGTTCTAGAACAAACAATTGTTATAACTATAATCGAAGCTACGGCATTGATAAGACTACTTATATCTGCCGATAAACTGTCACCAAACCCATTTTTAGATTGGTAATACAATATATGAATTATCCTGAGGAAATGGTTCAATAAGAGCAGCAGCATTTGAAAAGAATACGCCGTGTTCAATTGTTCGGAGATTTCACACAGCTGATAGTGTCTCAGTCTTGCCGAACGTATTACTTCCAGTACTTTCTCTTGCAAAAATGACGAGGAAATACTAAAACAATTACGGACTGATGGAAATTTAATTGAGAAATTATACTTATGTATAATGAAATCAGCTCGTTTCTCTCATGATTAATATTGTCTAGCAGTTACAGAAAAGGTGCTGATATATTTGACAAGTTAACAGAAGAAAATAATAAAGTGGCGTGCTTCGTTAGGAGTCCTTTCAAATTCAATGCTGGATGTGGACCCGACATCGAAGATAGAAGGACTTTTAAAAAAGGTCCCCATCTAGCAATATTATAGCACTAAAATAAAATAATAATAATGAATATCAAGTTTCTGATCAACAATTTGTCGAAAGTATCAGTTAAAGATCACTATTTCCAACCTATTAGATCGCTATAACACCTCTAGTGTGAAGTGTTCAAAAATGTAACAAAATATTGGATGAAGATTTGTATTCTGCTTTCTTCGGTCAACATGACTATAAAAAGAGACAGGGGCGGCCTTAGGCATCGAGAAGTTCCGGGCGAATAAACTTTTGCGAGGCCTTCGTCTTTGTGGAATTAGTTTTAATGATGATACTTGACGACAAATTCAAAGTTATTCATAAATAATAAATATAGTTATTCATAAATAATTGGAAAATTTTAATAAAAGACAGCAAATTTGCAGCTTTTTTAAGACTATTAAGAAATTCAAATAAGCATTAGTACTATGTAATAAAGTTAGATAGCTGCAAGAAGGCGCGAGGCCTCTGCAAGAGCGAGGCCCCGGGCGGTTGCCCTGCTCGCCACCCCCAAAGGCCGCCCCTGCATGTAATTTCATTTTTACCTAAGGATGAAGTGATTTGCTCGGTCCATTCAACTGTCGGCTCTATTCTAGCTTGTTTTGCATTTCTATTGATAACGAGTATCCTTCCTGCAGGAAGCGTTGATAAAATGTTGGGAGGATCATAGTATATTGCATGATGCATGAAACAAAGCTATGAAATAAATAGTTCTCATTCTATATTAGTATAGTAACCCGTTGAGAATCTCGATTTTTAAATTAACTCTAGTTTACCTAGAGCTCCAAGTCTGTAGTTTAATGTCACAAACACTACATCCTGATCCAGCATATATTCAGGACCTGCCCAATCGCTCCTGCCAGTAACGCTATAAAATCCTCCAGCATGGATGTAAACAATTACGGGCCGGGTAACGTTGTCCTGTTGAATATTTTCGGGAGACTGCAGAAAAAGCAATTTAAATTAGTATAAATGTTATACAAACCAATAAATAGTGAAATACACTTTCCCTTCACTCATTGAAAGAAACCTAAGGCTCTTTTATATGACAACCGTAGCGAAGGATTTCAGGTCTTCACTACACGTTCCCTGAGGATGGCAACAGTAGCAGCTGACGAAACGTCGGATAAGCGACTTAACGCAGGAACAGAACCAATCCGAAACTATGACAATCAAATCTAAATCTCGAACTCTCTTTAAAATGTACCATTGATGACGGATCGTTGTTGAAATGAACGATTAAGTTAATTCATTGTGAATACCGTTGATAATATGAGNGCAACGCTGCACTAAATCAACTGGCGTTACCAGCATCGGTGTAGTGTTTGTTTTGTAGTTTTTACTCATGTATTGTTTATTTGTTAAATTAGATTAAGTGTGATTTAGGGTTTTTATGTTAACAGTCGACCTATAATAGCCTTGCATGAGGTTCGAAAAACTAATTCAGCAATACAACATTAATAATTAGAGTAGGCCAGTTTGCCAGTGTAGAATAGTTGTTACAAAAATGTGACATGATACGTATCTACGGGTTTGAACCATATCGCCATATCGTAAACTTTAAAGGTTCAATTGCTATGTCTTTATCATTTGCAGCGAGTACAAACCTTGCTTTAAAATACCAGAGAATATAATAAAAATGTAAGTTCAGCCTATGTATATAGGACAACCTGTAACACCGCTTACGGAAAGAATTAACCACCTAGTAAATTATACTTACGTACAATACAAAGTACATGATTATGAATAATTGGAAACATATACAATTTCCTATAGAACTAACCTTATTCTTAAATACTATACTGCAACAGATGCATATAAATATCGTTAAATACGTAATAATGTCAATAACGCGTTCAGAATTGCGTTTAACAGACTGATTGACGCCGTGGACTATACTTTCACAGGCATTTACCCCAAGACCGATGACAAATAACAAACAAACTCCTGCCCAAGTGATAAAAAATATTTTTGTTTTTGTGCCTTTTTCATAAATCGAAAATGGGAGCAAACCTAAAATTCTGCACATTATTATAATGGGCTGCAAAACTTCCACCACGTTCGTGCATTTGAACATTTTTATTTAATTCACGTACATTCGTGTTCAGACTAATAGTTGTCACGTTAAAGTCCAGATATTACAAACGTTGGGGCGTACGTAAAAGCTTTTGCTACACCATTAATTATTCAATTTTTTCACCCCATTAGGCGAAATAAGTGACATGAATGCATGTTTTAATTGTCAGTTAGTTTGCCGAAACTACGGGGATGTATCAAAAAGTTTTAAGGTTAGGCCTTAAATATTCATTATACTACTACTACTAAGGGCAAGGAAAGACAAAAAGCACTTAATGTAAAGGTAGGGAATAGAAATATTGACAGAAGTTAAGTACAAGAGTCACGCCTCTCCAAGGGGAACTGTGTATTTCTTAATTGGAGAGTAAGTGGGGTGTACAAATATTAAAGTATATTTTCAATAAATAATTTCCTAAAAAAGGGATAGTTAGCTTGTACATTATGTAGAAAAAATATACATCTATATTAGGGCACCCAGTTAAGGAAATAATCCAAGAAATACATAGACCAGTAGAGCGTCAATAGAGAATTGAACTGGAGTCTAAAACATATTAGTTTGGCATTTTACTTTTGTCATATACATTGATTGGTGTAGCAAAAACCTAATAGGGCCCAGTGAGAACCCTCTGGTAACCCTCCGCCCATCTCATTTGAATACATGATTTATTCTTACGCCATCAGAGATCAGGTCTTTTCGGCTTCTACGTGTTGGGAAGTGTGAGCATTTTTTTTGAATTTCAATGGACCCTGGGCCCTATGAACTAGCGCTCCACTTTCTTCCGTTTATCGATTGCTACATCACTGGATGTATTCTCAATGTTGCGACATGCTACTCCCCCTTTATGAAAACATATCGAATCAACTTTAAGTGACTGATCTCATTGATTTTCAAATCTTCTTTAAACTTATGGACTGACAATTGAAGCAGTAGAATAAAAATAACAGTCTTAAAATATCCTTCTGTAATTCCTGTTTTTGTAATACACAAACCTCAGGCTTCTGTTCTGTGACGTATTTAAATAAAGTTATTGACAATTCCAATCAAACGAGACCATCCTGGATATCCCTAAATAATTACTTTTTGGGTCCTTATCGCTAAAGTGTTGATGAATATTGGGATCCGTCTAATGGGCATACACCATCTGGTGCCAAAATTTATAACTCGAATGAGGGAAAAATTTACATAGGAACTGTGCACGCAAATTGTAAAATTGTTTATTAAAATAATAAAACACGTTAAAAAAGTAAAAATTTTTTTGATGATGGAGTCGACGAAGTTTTCTTCTAAAGTTAAATCAAATAAAAAGTTAATATGTTCAGTGAAAAGCTGCAATAGCACTTCAGACATAGATCTTCACTCTTCACCTACATTAACTACTTTCCAATAAAAACTAACCGTTTTATATATGTAAAAAATATATTCGGAAAATTAGAGAAAAAAGTAAACTAATAGAAGCTTGGATGAAAGCAGTAGGTATCAAAGAAGTGAATTCCGGAATAAAAATTTGTTCACGTCATTTTAATGCACATGATTATATTTCAGCAAGTATTTACCATCAGCCATAACCTTAATATTTAAAACTAGAATCATACTAAAATTATAAAGTGAGAAATTATTTATTCCTGTGTAATTGATTTAACACAATTCTAATGATACGATATAAGTATTTTGAGGTTAAGAACCTACCTGCTGCAATACAACAAAGTTGCAATAATGTGTTTGCAACGTTCTCTTAAATCGGCTTTGCACGTGCAAGTCATTGATATGATATTGCTTAAATCACCCAGAATCACCTCACCAATTATATAACGTGAATCACTTTTTAAATCCGAAGTTTGTAAAAAGTAGGCAGTAAACTTGACGGAATTTGAAGGCTAGCTTCCGGATTTGTTATTTCCGAATTTTATAATGTGATTGGCATTAAAAACACGCTCACCTTCAACGAAATTTCCTTTCCGAGGCTTTGTGTCAGCCCAATCACATATTGTGTCAATACTTATCATTTTATCGTAATTTAAAAACTTGGAAATTGCACGGTACACTATAGGAACTACGATAAATTTTCCCTAATCGGCGCCATGTTTTTAGGCTCCTCCCATTTGACGGATCCCAATAGTTGATCCCCTAATTATTTGTTAGTGATCTAATATAAGAAAATTTATCAAAAAATTTCCACTTATCTTTATTAATAAATTAAGTAATAACGTTTTTATTTCCTGGCAATTATATGAGCTGTGAAAAATTTCATTTCAAAATTTTGAAAAAGAAAGTGTGTGCACTTAAAATAATCACGAACTGAACCGTAATTAAGGTGCACCTACTTTCCTAACCCAATTTACTATAATTTAAGGAACTTAGCTCAGCATGCAAAATAACTGTTAGACGAGCTATCTCATGATTAGCACCTTTTTATTTCGTCTGTCTGTCGGGTATGTGAGTTGTGTTATATGTTTAGTTTTTAGCGATGCATCACTCCTGGTGCCCGCGAGTTTAAACCACTCGATAATTTCATTGGGTTAAATAATGTTTTTAACAAGGTAATGCGTGCCACTAAATTATTTGTAGATAGTAATATATTTTAATTTATAATATTTTATCTAATTCGTACTGAATTTTTTGCCTTCAAGATGGTTATGTTTCACAGTCGTTGTGCTTTGCCAGTTTATTATCATTTGGTGCCAGCCCGGAATTTCTTTTCCAAATCTCATTCACTTCCCTTATGGGTCACCGTATATGGGGGTACGTAATTATTATTTCTTAAGTTCGAATCAGTTTATGTGAAAATCGTGTTTTCTCTGTTTGTTCAATCAAATAATAGTAAAAAATAAAAAATTTATGAGACAACACAACTTTTTGCCGTAACCCTACCGAAAGTACGATATTTTTCCATGATCTTAGAGTCGAAAACTTAACGTTTCCTCTCGGGTAAGATTTCTTATGTGGTTATTACGAGAGTGCATTTTACTATTCTCCATGTGGTTTTCATCTTCGCTTCCGGCATTGAAATTTCCACGTAGCGGATGTTCTTACCTGGGAGGTTATGTTACACTTTTTCGTCTCTGACATCAGAAAAAATCGTACTTTTAGGGTAAAATCATAATAAAAAATCATATACGACATTCCTTCTAATTCACACTCGTAAGGAAATGCCATACTTTCTTCCTTTTAAACTGTTGCCTTGCTGATTCGGGTCAGAAGGCGGTAATCGGTTGGAATTACTTCCTAACGTTTCGCTAACACAAGTGGCGAGCTTCTTCACAGATCCTTCCAACTCTGAAGCTGGATGTGGACTGTCCACATCCAGCATTGGAGATTGAAGAACCTCTAAAGAAAATCAGTTCATCTACTGGCCTCGAAAGCCTTCACCGACTTCTTCCTTTTATGCATAATATACCATTTTCGTTATCTGTTTAGTTGATTATTGCCGTCGCTACACCGCTGGATCTTCAAAATATCGATGCGTTCGTTGCTTGGAGTTTTGAAGCATCATACAATCTCCCTACAAACCAGACCAATTTCACATACCCTCCAATTCTATCCAGGGCGTTTGATTTTATCAGTCGAAAGTCGTTATATGAAGTTGTAGAAACGAGAATTGCAAAGTGAGTATGATAACCCATCCTATTTTAACGTTCCACAAAAATACAAAGACACACCTCCGATCTTTGATTCTCCCAGACCCTAACACATACGTATTCTAGCAGTCTGCCTAGCCTGGTAGATTCTGACTACGAACATTCCTTACTCGACCTTTATCGGTCGTTCCACTATTAATGCTCAAATATCATTTTTATTTTTCAATATAAAATAATCCCAACAGGTTCGGCTACGAAGGAAAGCAGTGCCTACTGAGAGCAATTTGTGAAGCAACAGCATACACTTTTGACCACAATGGAGTTTTGGGAGATCTCCTACATTTGGTTCTTAGGTAATTTTTGCAGTAATTTTTTATGCTAATGTAAAATCCGGTCTTAACGTGCGGGTCCAAAGGTCACTACCTAGCTACATGAACCAAATAAAAAACACAGGAACTGCAAAAACTTACTTACCTACTTAGTGATTAAGGACTTCTGCTTTCTTTCTCAATGTATATATTTTACTCTTAATACCAATATACCATTCTTGACGATGTAAGATACAAAAAATTGTTTTACATTATTTATATTGTTATTGTTGTCACATTAAATTAGAGTTACAAAACAGGTATGACATTTTTTTCAAAATCACCAGGTTTTATATACAATGATAGAGGAATTAACAACTAAAACGAAAATTGCAAAAAATGCACTTATTCTTAAAATGACCTTGATCTGTAGGTCAGAAACTTTTTATTTATTAATCTCGTGTCAATGAGAACTTTTGATCAGACAAAAAGCATCATAGTTCAATTTGCCTGGAGTCACTTCTCTGTAAGGATTCGGCGAATGCTTTGTAGAAGTTACGAATTTTTTACAAATACGAGTTTTTCCAAGGTTTTCGGCGCATTGTAGTAATGACTGGTAGGAGTAAGACACGCTTTTATTACCTAATAGGCACTATTATACACCATTTCAATACCTCCACCTTTTTTTATGTCCATGAAAATAATACTGAAGAATTCTTAGTTTTCCGCTATTCTTAATACACCGAACCTTTCTTCATATTTGTTTCTTTTTCTTATGTTTTTAGACCAACTTCTTCAGAAAATGAACATTTACCAGCAGATTATACTGAAGCAGAAAAAATTGGCGAAGAGAATGCAAACTGCACAAAATATACAGAACGTTGTCCTGTAAGCCTATTGGATATGATCACAAAGTTAGACGAAAATTCAGATACAGATACAGGTACTGACATAGCCACCGGATCATGACACCATCGAAGATAAACCCGCAAAAAATGTAATCTTTTATCATATACTTACTTCATATTTAAATGTATTTGCATATATATATGTATTGATTTCCTACAATATATTAATTATTTTGTTTATTGTTCCTTATTTTTTTAAGTGATAGGCACTTCTTATAATAGACCGCTAAGTTGCGCTGGATAGTATTGGGATCCGTCAAATGGGCATACACCATCTGGTGGCAAAATTTATAACTCGAATGAGGGAAAAATTTACATAGGAACTGTGCACGCAAATTGTTTATTAAAATAATAAAACACGTTAAAAAAGTAAAAATTTTTTTGATGATGGAGTCGATGAACTTTTCTTCTAAAGTTAAATCAAAGAAAAAAGTAATCTAATAGAAGCTTGGATGAAAGCAGTACGTATCAAAGAAGTGAATTCCGGAATTAAAATTTGTTCACGTCATTTTAATGCACATGATTATATTTCAGCAAGTATTTACCATCAGCCATAACCTTAATATTTAAAACTAGAATCATACTAAAATTATAAAGTGAGAAATTATTTATTCCTGTGTAATTGATTTAACACAATTCTAATGATACGATATAAGTATTTTGAGGTTAAGAACCTACCTGCTGCAATACAACAAAGTTGCAATAATGTGTTTGCAACGTTCTCTTAAATCGGCTTTGCACGTGCAAGTCATTGATATGATATTGCTTAAATCACCCAGAATCACCTCACCAATTATATAACGTGAATCACTTTAAAATGTTTAAAAAAGTTTGTAAAAAGGAGGCAGTAAACTTGACGGAATTTGTTATTTCCGAATTTTATAATGTGATTGGCATTAAAAATACGCTCACCTTCAACGAAATTTCCTTTCCGAGGTTTTGTGTCAGCGCAATCACATACTGTGTCAATAGTTATCATTTTACCGTAATTTAAAAACTTGGAAATTGCACGGTACACTATAGGAACTACGATAAATTTTCCCTAATCGGCGCCATGTTTTTAGGCTCCTCCTATTTGACGGATCCCAATAGGGGTTGATAGTTTTGTTATTTGAAGAATATACAGAGATCATACCAAAAAACGGTGCAAGCCCTAATGGAGTCGAAAGTTATACTCATCAAGTCGCTGCGCGGTAAGACAGAGCGCATAAAATATGACGCTTATGCACGGAACTCCTTTGTTTTTTTTTTGTGTTTGACGACTGTCAATATACCGAAAAATTTCATCGCGTAACGACTCTAGTATTTATGGTCCCATTCTCACAATTAAAATTAACCCAATTTTTATTTTCCTACCTCACCCATACGCTACCACTGTATAGTATTCTGTAAGGTCACCCCTCACGTTTCTCGCCCCGTCCTAACGATGATGCATACATCTAGACATTGACTAAATAACTGAATTAAATTCAACAACATAGGACTATATAAAAAGGTCCCTTATAACGGTATTAAATTAATAAAATCTGTGCTACTAGTTGTTAGTAAGCACTTTTAATAAAATATTCATGATCGTCAAACGGAAACAGAATAATTGTAATGTAAACAAAAAAAAAGGAAAAAGGTTTCCTGTCGGTTGAAACGAAACAATTATAGTTAATATCTGTCACAATTACATAATATTTGATAAATTGTTTCAATCAATTGACTCGTACCAGCGACAACTTATTTAAGTATTGTATGAGCTTCCCCTTCCCTGTCATTCATGCATAATAAAATGTTTCGTCCAAAGGGAATTTTATTTTCAGCCAAAATGTCCATTGAAAGGGTTTTGAGTCCGATGTTAATAATGTCAAAAATATTTGGTTTTGCTCCATTCTCGTTCTCTGAAAGTTCAAAAACAACAGAAATCTTTAGAATTATACAGAGTTCGTCCTTTGCTGCTGGAACAATTATACTTAATTGTATATTTCATCAAAGTTTCCCATCGGATCACATATTTCGATACACCTTATGGAGCAGGGTTTATGGGAACATGGTTATTGTTGCATTGTGCTACGTTTGTACATTTATTTTTAAAAATCAGGTAAAGCTATTTCATCAGGGCTTTTATTAAGTAAATGCTATTTAGAAGGATAATTAAAAGGCAAAAGTATATTTGCAACCAGTAATTTTTTAATAACTATTACTGTAATCAAATGTTCATAATTTTTACGGAAATATATGTTAGGTCCGAAGACCGAAAACGCTCAGTGGCCGGAAATAACGGCCACGTCGCGTTCTGGCTGCCTTCGAACGCACAGAACGCGTTTTGGCTGTTTTTAAACGCTTGCAATGCGTTCTGGTATCTGTTAAACAGCCGGAACGCGTTTTGTCAATTGTTGAACGCTCACAACGCGTTCTTAATGTTCGACTTGTATTATTTGCCGCTTTCTACCTGCGTACAATGAGATTTATATTGTACTTATAAAACAAATGAATTTCAATCCATTTTTCAGTTTTTAGGAAACAATTCAATTATTGACAACTATAATTGGATACCAAAGATGGGTTCGGTTTTTCTCGCCGAATCATTTCAACAATATTAAATTTCTTATAATTGTTTTTCAGTTCTAGGAAGAAAGTTACACTGAACACTTATATTGTCGAGCATATGATATACGAATTAATGAATGAAAAAGCGAAAAGATATTCATTAAACAAATGAATTTCGATTTATTTTATACACATTTAACTTATTGTGGAGTACAACGCAAACTTAAATTCATGCCTTTTTTACTTTATTAGAAATGATTTAATTTTTGACAACCACAATTAAATACAAACGAAAGGTTTTTTCGAACTTTCAAGTACTTTACATAGGTACATTACTTATTTTTACAAGAACTGTTTGAATGACATTTAGAATTACATAGTACATTTAACTTGCATTTTTGTGAGCGTTCAACAATTGACAAAACACGTTTAGGCTGTTTAACAGTTACCAGAACGCGTTGCAAGCGTTTAAAAACAGCCAAAACGGGTTCTGTGCGTTCGAAGGCAGCCAGAACGCGATGTGGCCGTTTTCTCCGGCCACTGAGCGTTTTAGGTCTTCGGGCTTAACATATACAATAGAACCCGCTTATAATGACATCGCAGGGAAATGACGAACACGTAATACTAAACGGGCGTCATACAAAGGATAGTCTTAGAAAACAAAAAACTTTCTATTTTGGATAGTCATTTAATTTAATAGAGAGAAAAACTAGAAATTGTATATATTTATTAACAGAAAAAGAAAAAGAAAGATGAATTGTAATATCAATATATACATAAGAAGGGTCAGAAAAATGAGCGAAAATGTTATTATTAATCATTTGGGTCACTCTAGCCGGATATGATTTCTTGAGAATTAGTCATAATAAACGATATGTCATTTTAAACGGAGTCGTTGTATCCAAACTTTTCTATAGAGAATTTAAAATGAAAACCAAACTTAACACTGCAGTTACTTCATATTAAGCGGTTGGTCAATATAGGCGGAGTCATAATAAACGAATTCCACTGTATTATCATCCAAATTTGGACAATACCTACCACCTACCTCTAAAAATTATCTATACCATTGATTAAATACAAAAATTAAAAAAGTATGATCACTACTAACGTCTTTTTACATTTTTTTTCAGGTTGTGTCTAGAGATTGCCATTCGTTAGTGTCGGCTCATTATCGGTTAGATTCGCACCCGAGGGTGTCATCTCTCCACGAAGTGTTGGTAGGTAGTCGTTACCTATACCTAGTGTTCCCTGAAGCTCACGGAGACCTGCACTCTTACGTCAGGTCCCGGAGGAGACTTCGGGAATCGGAGGCGAGAAAATTGTTCAGGCAAATCGCCGAAGCCGTTCAGGCCTGTCATCGGAATGGAATTGTTCTAAGGGATCTTAAGCTTCGGAAGTTTGTTTTTGCTGATGCTCAAAGGTAGGCAATTTTATTTTTTTTTTATTTCAAGAATATGCGCACGTAAATTTATTTATTATGTGTGAAAAAAGTCAAAAAGATGACTTAAAATTTGTGAAAAAAAATGCGACACTCATAATCTAATTTCTTATCCAGAGGTTATTAAATATTCGAAATTTTCGAACTGTGAGTCAGATAATATTGATAATTATCGTAATGATTGTTGATCACGGTAAATGTGAATAAGGCATATCTTATTGTTTTTGATATTTACATACCTGTGCCTGTAAATGTAAAACTATTGCAACAATATCCGGCAATCTATGTCGAAATAACGATAATAAAACCTTTGTACTTATTTTTCTTATTTCAACATTAACAACAAACAATAATCAAATAATACCGTTGAATGAACATACACGGTGTATATGTATGTATGTGCTTTCGCTTCTCGCTTAATTTAATTAATTAAAACCTTTTTAAGAAACATTAGTGAATAACAAAGTTAATTAGTTCTGTTTACGCATTACATTAATGTGGCTCGTAATTAGCAAAATTACAACCCACTTGGATATAAAAAAAGTTCACATTATAGTTATTGTTACTTTTATTTATTTAATTTTATGCCTACCTAGTAGATATTTAAAAGAACATATGCATGGTTGTTTTTTTACATGAAAATATTTATAATATGTAATGGAATGCACTTGCAAGAGACCGGATGATAAATAGCATTTTCTTCGAATAGGAAATTATTTGAAAATATGGAGCATTTTCTCTACGATAAATAGCATTTGAATTATTTCGCACTTTTATTGCACATCTCTCTAATTTTTAATGCTTTATTAACGGATGTAATATGGACGCTGTTGGTTAAATTACATATGTANTATTTCTCGATTCACTTCTGTAACGGTCAATTTATTTATACTCCTCTTGGCGATCGTCTCTTCCTTTAAATACTCTTTTGTTTACTTTCTTGAACCTTCTGGAACCATCCGGATTAGTTTATTTTTTTTTTTGAACTGTTTAACTGCTTTCCCAGAACGCAGGTACAACACACACATTTACAAATACGGCGCACATGAAGAAAGACGCCCGCGGTTAGTCGGCGAATCGATAAGCCGTCCACGCACACGTGTGCCCGATTGCACAC